CCCCCCATTTGTCTCTGGACCTATTTTTGTGAAACCAGTAATTTTTTTCACATCAACACAAGTAAAAATCTAGACTTCTTTTTTAAAAAAATATATATTTTATTGAGTTTTTACAGAGAGGAAAGGGGAGAGATAGAGAGTCAGAAACATCGATGAGAGAGAAACATCAACCAGCTGCCTCCTGCACACTCCCCACTGGGGATGTGCCCGCAACCAAGGTACATCCCCTTGACCGGAATCGAACCTGGGACCCTTCAGTCCGCAGGCCAACGCTCTATCCACCAAGCCAAACGGTTTCGGCAAGACTTCTTTTAAAAAATAATAAAGTTTTACAAATAGTTGCTTTTTTGTGAGAAGCATTACAACATGAGTTTTGTGTTGTTTTTTTAAATGTTACGTTTGCAAGTCATGGGACTAAAGACTTGTGCAGTATTTACAGTTGATTTTTTTCTTAGTATGTATATGATTTTTTCTTAAAAATATTTTTAAATTGATTTTTAGAGAGAGGACGGGAGAGGGCTATGGAGAGAGAAACATCGATGAGACAAGAACATCATTGATGGGCACACCCCACACTGGGGATCGAGCCTGCAACCTGGGCATGTGACCCGGCTGGGAATTGACCTCTTGGTTCCTAGGTTGATGCTCAACTGCTGAGCCACACCAGCTGGGCAGTATATGATTTTTATAAGTGGCATTCCCACATTATAGACATTTTAGAGAGCAGGAGTGGGGGGAAAAGAAGCCATTGTTTCACCTCTGACCTGTGTGATGCTTGCATTTAATTGTACAAAACTGTCTTAGTGCTTTTTGTTCCTTTCTTCTATATGTGCCTTTTGATTTTAAATAGTGGCTTGCATAGTATACATAAACTTTTATTTTGCTTTTTTCACATAATTACATTTTCAACTGTTGAGTTAGGAAATATTCTTAGTTTGTGCAAGTATTGAGCAAGACAGTCTGAAAAATTGGGAAAGCTTTGCAGATGTTTTGTGCAGTATGTTAGTCCTATGATTTAATCTTCCTATAGCTGGGTAGGGGTCAAAATATTAGCTACCAAGGGTAGAAAGGGAAAGAAATGATGAAAGTTTATTTTATAAAGCTAAGAGCAAAATCAGGTCTGCATTTAATAGAACCTCAGAGGTGTGTGTTTTTTAATTAAAAAATATTTGTATTGATTTCAGAGGGGGAGAGAGGGAAACATCAATGATGAGAAAGAATTATCCATTGGCTGCCTCCTGCATGCCCCGCTACTGGGGATCAAGCCTACAACCTGGGCATGTGCCCTGACCAGGAATCATACTGGCAACATCCTGGTTTATGGGTCATTGCCCAATCAGTGAGCCACACTGCCCAGGCAAACTACATAGATTTTTTTGAAGAAAACATGTTTGTTTTGTTTGCTAACTCTTAGAATGTTTTTCATTTTTCTCGGTTAATTCTCCCTAACCCCCCTCCTGAATTTGCCTTGTTTTCTGTTTTAAGACTGCTAGGCCAGAAACTGTCACTAATGATGACGAAGAAGCCTTAGATGAAGAAACTAAGAGAAGAGATCAGATGATCAAAGGGGCCATTGAAATTTTAATACGTGAATACTCCAGTGAGCTCAATGCCCCTTCACAAGAATCTGACTCTCACCCCAGGAAGAAGAAGAAGGAAAAGAAGGAGGACGTATGTGTTATTAAATTCTGACAACAGTCATTTCTACAATTTACTTTTTATGGTGTCACTCTTGTGCTTTCAGTACATTTTAACTTTTGAGGGGAAAATACAAGAACGACTAGCATTTACAATAATTGTACTGTTAAGCCTAATTTGACCTGTTCTACCAATTAACTCCTAATATTTTTACCAAAACATTTCTGTTTACTGTGTTTAAAATGCACTGGCATTGAAGCTTGTACTTAGCTGTGGATTCAAATTCAGTAAGGGAAAAACCACCTTCAGTGATGAATTGTAGGTACTTATATTAAGGGTTATAGTAAAATGTTTTTGGCTATGAAGGACTGGCCTTGTTTTACCTAATTATCGTTCAGTCTCTGCTCCAAGCAGGATGCCGGTATCCTTCACTGAAGATTTTTAGCTGTCTCCTTACAACCACGTCTCACTCCCCTCCATGGACAGTAATGCTGTTCAAATTCTAGCTGGAAGACTGTGAAAGAGCAGCACAAGATGACACACTCTTCTGCAGTGTATTAATATTATAACCACTCTGTCTGACCAAGCTAACTGAATGTTAGGGAGTCCAGGTTGAAAGAAAATGTTTGGCTTTCTTATACTAATTTCTTTCGAATAAACTAAGAGAAATTATGGGGATTGTTTTTTAAAAATACCAGAATTATTTTATATGCATGGATTGCATATACATGAAAAAGTAACATGGAACATATTATAATTTAATATCAAGGTTCCTATCATTTAGGATTTCATTGCCTTATTAGGCCATCTTCAATTTTGTTTGTGGCCAAATACATTTTTATTACTTGTCTCATTCTTCCTCACATGGTCATAAATACCTGTCTGGTGAAATGCCGATAGTTGGGAATGATAATTGGTAGAGTTAGTCAGGTACAGGGTAATTGAGGTTAATGGGAAAGGAGAAAGTAACTAGACATATATGTTGGATATGGATTGGGAACAGTGGATCAAAGAAATCCTGCTCTACGGCAGGAATTATGGATACATTTTATTGGTATGATTGTTTCCTATATCTGGGTCAAGAAAAAAGCCCCACTAGTATGAGACCCTCCTTATTCTTTTGCTTAGGGAGGTTGGAGGGAGAGGAGGTGATGGGAGAGGTTATAGACTGAGAGTGAGTGAAGTATTTTTATTATCAAGTAATTTGAAATCAAGAAAATGTCCCACAAGCATTGCTTCTAGTATAAAATAGCATTGTTTTGCAGGTTAATGTGAACTCTTGTGTTTTTTAAAAAAAATCTTTGTGGATTTTTTTTGCAGATTTTCCGCAGATTTCCAGTGGCACCTCTGATCCCGTATCCACTCATCACTAAGGTTTGTGTACATTGAAGGCTTTGACAATAAATATGTTCACTGGTGATTGTCAGATTTGTAATTCTTGTCTACCAGAATTTTCACTAACTTAGATCATTACATTTGTTACTATACAAGTTCTTTTTATTTATTTACTCTTATCTTTTGTAAGACTTGTACAGAATATCTAACCTTTGCTTGTTATTAGATTGATCTTTATGCATTCCCTCCTGTCCCCTGTCTTTTAGGAAGATATAAATGCTATAGAAATGGAAGAAGACAAAAGAGACCTAATATCCCGAGAGATCAGCAAATTCAGAGATACACACAAGGTAGTATTCTTGTTTTTTTCACTTGATATCAATCTAGACTTTTTACAGAATCCAAAGCGAACAGACAAAAAAAAAATCGACCTTACATTAGGATATAAATTTAAATGCTTTTTATAGGTTTAGTTGATATTTAGATAGAAACAAACAAGACCAATATCATATTAAAGTGGACCTTGACATATTATATTTAAATTTTTTTTTTTTTTTTTTAGTTACTGCTCTGCAGTCATCTCACTTTAATATGAATAAAAGCTGATTTTATTTTTAGGTTTCAACATAAACATCAAGGTCAGATTTAAACTAGATTCAAGGGGATAGGATAACATACACTGTAGTGTATTTCTGGGAGCATTTATTTAACTTAATCTTAGGAAAACCTTTTCTTTAGAGCTGAGGTTAAAAATTAAGATTTATATTTGTGTAGATATAATTTGAGGGGGAGATTTTAAAAAGTAGGTCAGTGATTACCAGACTTACCAAATTTTAGATGCATGGAAGAACTGTAAATGCCCATAAAGCTAATCTATTCATTGACCCCCACCATTATGATAGAGATCATATGGTGACTAATGCAAGATGAAACACTCAGCTTGGAAAGTAACAAGGAATAGGATGTAAGTATGAGCTTCTGTTTTTTATTATATTTATGGATGCCCCCTCAGAAAAATATGCAAAGGGGTAACTGGCTTGGAAATGGGTATTTGTAGTAAATCTCACGAGTTTTGCCTATTGAAAGCTTCTCTCAATGACAGTGCATCTGTGAATGTTTGCTAATGTTGAAGTTGATGCTTTTGGACAGTAAAATGCAAACGCTGCATGAAATATATTTTGATGTTAAAGATAGTAAGGTATTACTGGTTCTTCCACATAAGACTGACTTTTAACTCAGTGAAAAGTTGAATTCATTTTTTCTTTTATTTAATCTTATTTTTTCTTACTGCTTTTAAAATTCCAAGTTGATAATTAATGCCATTGAATTAATGCTGCTGAACACTTATTATCCATGCCCAACCCTAGTTCACATACACAGTGCTTTTTCAGGAATTAAATATGAATAAAATTACAAATGCAGTTCCCTCAGCTTAATTTTTAGTTAAAGGGGATAGCCTGTGGGAAGTCATTTTAGAGGAATACTTTTGGTTATGTTTATTTTCAAACTCAGAGTCTGAGTAACCTTGAAAACAGTATACAGTTGTGTGTATGGTTTATCCCCTTTTTGTTATTTGTTAAACCCGGTCATGTCATTGGTAAAGTATGACAGAATCGTGTTTTTAAAAAATTATTTCAAGATATTTGCTTCAGAGTTTGAGAAGCTGTCAGGCATTTGACTTCCTTAGACTTATTCATTGTAGGGTGGGCAGGGGAATGTTTTGAATTTCCAAAATGTGCTTTAACAAAAAGGTCAAAATGAAAAACTGTTCTTGTTATTGGGTGGATGTTTAAAGGAAATGTTTAAAACTTGAGTAACAAAAAATGAGCTCAGTGAACCTTTGCATGTTTTGGTATGAGTTTACTAAATAACCACAGACTGTCAGGGTATCAGCGTGGCAGGGGGCGTCCATTTACAGCACGGACGAGTCTGAAGAGAGAATAAGGTAAGATTTATGATTTCTTTCTATTCTTTTTCATTATTTCATTACTCATACTATTTTAGTCTCCATTTCCTCTTTTTTCAGTCTTTGTCTTAAAATGCATATATGTGTGTGTATCTATTTACCACATATATAATCTTTTAGAAATACATTTAGTATGGACCAGATTCACTCACTTTTTCATTTACTTAGAACAAAAACTTTGAATGAGTTCTGAAACAAATTATTACTTACATAAGTGAAACTATACACCTAAGAAATAAGTAGTGCAGTGAATAAACGAGTAAAAAATTTGAGGAATTCTACAAAAGAAATTATTGGAACAGCTAAAGTCTGTAAGTATTTATCTCAGAAATAAACAGATTTCTTTATAAGTGTATGACACTGAGGTAAGTGTTATGTAGTCTAGCCTCATTTTACAATTTAAATTTTTGTAATCCATTAGAACTTTGAAAAATTAGAATTGCCCCTTTAAATAGCCTTTAGTTTCTGTCCTCTTTCTACCATTTCTTTTTCTCTTTCCTTTGTAATTTCAATGTATTCAGTATTAGCTTGCCTGCATTCTACTTTGGTACAGACTGGCACAGCAGCTGAATATATTGATTTTTCATGCATTAGCTTTTCTTTCATAATCCTATCAGTTCTCTGATCCATGAGCAAGAGAAAGAGTATAAAAGGTAAGATTGCTTTTTAAAGTTGTTTTAAATGCTTTACATGACTGAGAAAAGAAAAAATGAACATTTTATTGTTAAGTTTAAATTTCATTTCAGTGACTCTAAACATGGAACCAAAGAGATAAATGTGTTGTTTTTGTTTTGTTTTCCTGTTTGGGGTATTTTTTCTTCTTCTGAGTTTGTATAGAAACCGTGTGGTGCACTGGTAATCTTGTGAGGGTACAAACTTGGTCTGACTTTGTTAATTTGGTTTATTTGTGAACCATGTACTTGCTCTTCCTCCCAGAAACATAGCTTGTAGGCAAGGTTAATCCAGTGTTGGCGATCCATGTCCTAACACAGCATCTGTAAGTTAATACACAATCATTCCTTCCCAGGATGGATTTATCACTGTTGATATATTTTTATTGTCTTATAGGCATAATGGGCACAAATATGTTGCTTATACGGTTAAGTTAAAATTTTTGCTTGAAGTGAGTGATTTTTCAAACTTTTGAATTTGGTGGGCTGTCCATCTTGTAATGGTGGGAGTAAATGTTTCCACAGATAGTGAGGCAGATCTTGGTTGAATTTACCTTGCCTTTTGGAGGGTGGGCATACTAGAAGACATACCATTTAGTTGCGTTACAGTGACCTGACTCTTCTCCACCTCCTTTTTAAAACCCTAAATCACAACCTTTAGGTAGTGGGAAGTCGTGGTTTGAAATTAATATCCATAATCCCACTGATTTACAGAAATTTATAATGGGAAGAATCACATTTTTGCTAACTGATTGTCTTTTTAGAACTCTACGAACCAACACATTCTTCATGATCATTTTAGTTATATAATCATTGAGTGGCTAGCCACACTTGACACAATCTCCCAGCATCCAAGATTGGAGATTCCTGGTCTGTGTAGAGTATATGGTTTTGCACGAAATCTATCTAGTCTTGTGATTCCTTCAATTTAATTTGTCAAGTAAAACCACAAATATTTAATAGCAAATTACCAGTGGTTTTTTTTATTGTTGTTGTTAATATTGGGCATTGTGTTGGGAAAAATCTGAATACTGGAACTACAGATTAACTCTAAAAGTACTTTTATTGGTTTCTAGAAACTGGAAGAAGAGAAAGGCAAAAAAGAAAAAGAAAGACAGGAAATTGAGAAAGAACGGAGAGAAAGAGAGAGGGAGCGTGAAGGGGAATGAGAAAGGCGAGAACGCGAAAGGGAAAGAAAACGTGAACGAGAGAAAGAGAAAGAACGGGAGCGGGAACGAGAACGGGATAGGGATCGTGACCGGACAAAGGAGAGAGATCGGGATCGTGATCGAGAGAGAGATCGTGACCGCGATCGGGAAAGGAGTTCAGATCGGAATAAGGATCGGAGTCGATCAAGGTAAGGCTTTATAGAAGTTATTGTTTTCGTGATAGCTTTAATTGAACTGCAGGTTAGCACTCTGTAGGACGACTTAACATTTATGTGATGAGGACTTCCTTAGCCATAGGGCATGCCTGGCTTGCTGTATAACATATGTAAAACATTGGTGAAAATAACAATTTTAATTTTAGCATTACTTTCTGTCTTAAGCCAGTTTTTACAGACCCAGAACGTATCAACTGTCCATCCAGTGCCCTGGGCAGACAGAATTCTGTTGTCTTTTTGGGCCAGTGGCCTTTTTCTTCTAGTCACTGTTTCATTGAGGTCCATTATACTGGGAAGTCAGTTCTAGTTTTAGCCTCTGGTGTCGATTTGGTCCTCTAGCCCACTGCATCCCCACAACTCACCTCCCAAACTCTAAATTTACTCTCTTCTTTAATATTTTATTGATTTTTTACAGAGAGAAAGGGAGAGAGATAGAGAGTCAGAAACATCGATGAGAGAGAGACATCGATCAGCCGCCTCCTGCACATCCCCCACTGGGGATGTGGCCGCAACCCAGGTACATGCCCTTGACCGGAATCGAACCTGGGACCCCTCAGTCCGCAGGCCAACGCTCTATCCACTGAGCCAAACCGGCTTCGGCTAAATTTACTCTTATAAATTCTAGTAATCTCATCTTTTTGTTTTATTTAGAAATTTTTCTTAATTATATTGATTTCAGTTGATTGATCTCAAATTCTTTAGGAATGAGGGAGCAAAAATGAGCAAAGGAAGGAAGAGGAAAAAGGAGAGTAGAAGGAGAGAAGAGAGAAAAGCACATCTTTTTTTTTTTCAAGCTAGTTTTCAAATACATTTTTGGCTTGCAGATTTTCCATCTGATTGTAGCTGAAGGGAGGTTCCCTTTAGGTCAGTTAATCAGTTACTGGAACTGGAAGTTTAGTGCTCTTAATCTTTAGTGGGCATTCAAATTCTTCTCTTCCATCTCCCCTGGAATAACCAGTATCCTTTTGACTATTATTGAGAATTTTACATATATAAAATAGTGTCTTTATACTTACACTACAGAACAGTATATTGTTTCATATATACTATATGTATTTAGATTCATGGCATATCATATACTGCAATTTGGTTTTATTGTTTCAAATTAAATATTTGAGAACTTTTCATTGCTCCTATAATTGTAATTTATCCGTGTAACATGACAAAATGCTCTTTTCTCCACACCCTTTATCACCTTCATTCCTTGACCACTAGTGAAATAAACTATTTTTTAATATGTTCATTAGCCTTTTGTATTTCTTTTCTTTTTTAAAAAATATATTTTTATTGATTTCAGAGAGGAAAGGAGAAGGAGAGAGATAGAAACATCAATGATGAGAGAGAATCATTGATCTGCTGCCTCCGGCATGCCACCTATTAAAGATTGAGGCTGCAACCCGGGCATGTGCTCTTGACCAGAATTGAACCCAGAACCCTTCAGCCTGCAGACTGACACTCTATCCACTGAGCCAAATCAGCTAGGGAAGCCCTTTGTATTTGTTATTTCCAGGGTTTCTTGGTTTATTTTCTGAGATACCAATATGTATTAACACTGAATTCAGAATTTGGGGCTAGAATTATATTCTGTGCCTCTGATGAATATAGAGGAGTTTATAGTTTTGCAGGAATGAAATGCTGAATTCTGGCTTGTCTATTTCATAATCTGTATTGTTCTCTACCTAGGTTTTTAAAGGAAAACAAAAAGAATGACAATTTAAAAAATCTTTTTTTTTTATGTAGAGAAAAGAGCAGAGATCGTGAAAGGGAGCGGGAGCGGGAAAGAGAGAGAGAGAGAGAACGTGAACGAGAAAGAGAGCGTGAACGAGAAAGAGAGCGTGAAAGGGAACGGGAGCGAGAAAGAGAAAAAGACAAGAAGAGGGATCGAGAAGAGGATGAAGAAGATGCGTATGAACGAAGAAAACTTGAAAGAAAACTCCGGGAGAAAGAAGCTGCTTATCAAGAGGTAAATTGAGGAAATGCTTATATTGGTAAAGTTGGGTACTTAGTAGCTTATGCAAAAATTTTAAAACCCTGTGTATATTTTTAAAGCTCTGACAATTTCATTTTTAGCGCCTTAAGAATTGGGAAATCAGAGAACGGAAGAAAACCCGGGAGTATGAGAAAGAGGCTGAAAGAGAAGAGGAAAGGAGAAGAGAAATGGTAATAATCTAGGTTAAAAATAAGTGATTTTCAGATATAAATGAGGTCAAATCTTTTCTGTTAACTAGAAATAACTTTATAAATAAATTGTACAAGTTCCCAGCATAATATTATTTTTATATATTTCAAATAACCTTGAGACACTTTCAGTACACCAAAATCTTTTTTCCCTTCTGTTTTTCACATTTTTGTTATCTATACCAAATTATCTTTTGGCATTCTTTCAAAGTAAATCTGTCATAGAGTAATATATAAAATGAGAATTTATAGAACGTTCTCTGATTAAGAATCTGCAACATTTTTGAATTTGAAGTAGCAGCTTTGATATTCTGTATTGGTTGGTACATTGGGATGGATGAGAGTGTCCTGAGAAGACTTCTGGTTTTATAAGTCAAAATTGTCTTTATATAACATTTATGGATTATAGGTTTTCCTTCGGTTACTATTTATTCTTTTGACTATATAATATGTAATTATAAAAATACTTTTTTTTCACATTTGCTTTGTTTGATAAACTGTAACAGTGAACAATTGGTTTAGGTTGTTACTAAGTAAAATGTCAAAAATATATTTTATCATAGTATTTGCTTCAGTAGTATGTTCCATGTGTTCTGTCTTTGCCAGAATTTCATGAAAGTTTCTTTATCTCCAGTTTGGAGATTATTCTTCCAAAAACTTCACTGAAGTTAGGAATCTTCTTCAAATAGTTTTGAACATGAGACATAGAGGGAATTTTTGTAAGTAACCAAAAGGGTGCATGCAGCAACTAGCTAGATAGTATGGGTGTTCTGAATAGTACATCCACTAATGTCATAGAATTATTTAAAATACTCCTTATTTCCCTGGATTGTAGCTCCCGTTCTAGAATTTCTTTTTCATCCCTAGGTTAGAAAGTTGGAAGAGAATAATATAGTAAAAGCTAATTATTTGAAGAAATAATTGTGGAATAGGTTTAAAGGGACTTTTGCTTCCTATAAGCAAATCTGAAATCTATCTTTCTAGAAAAACATTTCCTATTAATTTTTTATTTGGAAACTTAGCAGTTATTTGCTTATTATAAAAATGTTCCAGTAACAGAAATATCGGATGTAAAAAGCGGAAGTTTCTGCACTCTTATGGAATGATAACTTATATTTGTTTTAGTATTTACCTTGTGGGCCCTCCTGTGTTTTATTTAGATATTTGTATTGTCATTGCTACTTGATAATCTACTTTTATTCATTGGACAAATTTTGAGTGTACATTATATCCCAGCCTTGGGCTAAGTACTGGGCATACAAGAATAAACAATGCTTCTAATATTGAAATAAGTCAGTAATATTGTCAGGGAGATAAGGTACTTACTATAGCATGTGTGAGAGTGTTTAAGATGGTAAAGGTGTGTTCAGAGTAATTTTGGAGTACAGAGAGAGACGGGGAGGAGCTGGTCATGGATAATTGATTAGATTGGGGAAGTCTTTATAGAGAGGTAACATTTGAACTGGATGAAGTGGTTAAAATTTTACTGCAGTCAGAAACCTACCGTTACCTGCTTTGTAGTTGTTGATATAATAGATGTAGATTATATATGTATACATATATAATTGTTAGGTTTAACTGCTATTAAATATAATTTTTGTTGTATATTTGAAATTCCAAAAGTAGGAATAAGAGGTTTGTGTGCTCAAAGTGAGATAGGCATTACCTTTGAATTGATGCATGAACGTGATTTAAATTTTTAATCCTGCATTTCACAAAAAGTACTTATAGTATCATTTACAATGAAAATGTGTAAAATATTTTTGTTCAGTTAACAAATTCAGTAAGATAACTTTCAGTTTTGTTTACTGATATGCTTAGGTTGCATTAATTAGAAGTTAATTACTGTACTTTGAAGATTATATTCAGGGAACAAATTTATTATAGCATACTATCTGTGGTTTTTATTTTATAGATAAGTCCTAATTCTGACTTGTCTTATGAGTAAAAGACAAAAGACATATACTGTTATTTACATTTAACATATGAAATATTTGAGAATTATAAAGTTCAAATGGTATGGATAAGAAAATCTGTTCCCAAGAAAGGGGGAGGGTGTAACTTAAGTGACTTTTATGTTAATTTTGCACACTCTATCCTTTCTAGGCAAAAGAAGCTAAACGACTAAAAGAATTCTTGGAAGATTATGATGATGATAGAGATGATCCCAAATATTACAGGTAAACAAGCCTTGCTCTATGAACTCATACTTTTAGCATTTCATTAGGTATATTTTCCCCTTGTCTACCAGAGAGTGCAAGTTCACTCAGCGGAATAAAGAACGAAATCTTCATATTCCCTCTTGTAATCATACCCATAGCTGATATGCTATTCTGGAGGGGGTGGTTGGGCAGTGGGGAAAGCACTGTTGGCAAAGATTGACATTTCTGTGTGTCTCTGGCGGGGGCGGGGAGGGGGATAATACAGTATTACAAATTTTTCTTCATGTATTTTAAAGAGGTTCAATTTTTATAGCAAGTTATAATTGATCTTTATGACTGTCTGGAGTGGTCTAGAAATTATTTTCTTCAAAGATTTAAAGAATGCCACACAGTAATCTGAACTACCCTTCCATCCTCCTCTCCCAACCAATTGATATATTATTGTGAAGTGAGAGTTGGTGAATCCTCTGCCTTCCCTCTTCTCTTTGTTTTCCACAGCGTGTCTGAACTACTTTCATTTTAGCACTTATGGCATGGTGGTAAAATTGGTTTTGTTTGGCTCCGTGTACTCCAGACTGTAATTTCCCTGAAGATAGGGGTCAATATTTCTATTTTTGAAAAATCTCTCATGTGCCTCACATGATCCAGGCATGAAGTAAAGGCAGTTAATATGTAGGTATGCTTAATATTCAGGCGCCAAAACATCAGAATTAGCAAATTAAATAGAATTTCAAGAATTTGATTTTTTGGAAAATGCAAAAAAGTGAGATTTTTGAATCATAAAATAGCAGTGTATAATTTCAACATTCTGAGGTATAATAAAGTGCTATATTGAGAGAACCTCTGCTTTCTATTGATTCTGCACTACTACTAGTACTTTTTTCCACAGGGAAATCATTTATTTTAATTGAAGATACAGATCTGTTATTATTACTTCTTGTGTTAATTTTTCACAGCTTAGCATCCAAGCAAACATAGGTTATGTGTTGGGGTTTCCCTGTGGAATAGGCACAAAATGAGAACTTTGTTTTTCTCTGAATGCTACTTTTCTGCTTGATTTAGATACTTATTTAGAATGACTTAACAATGAGGCATGGTTATAAGTGACAAGACAATGCTCACGTATTAAATAGTAACACGTAGAGATCACAATGTCTGCAGATACAGAACATTAAGTCTTTTAGAATGCAGTTTTAGTATTGAAAGAAAGTGCTTTTGGAGACATGTGCAATAATTGATGGTCTGAGTATTAAATAAGGCCTGTTATGATTTCTTTTGCAGAGGAAGTGCTCTTCAGAAAAGATTGCGTGACAGGGAAAAGGAAATGGAAGCAGATGAACGGGATAGGAAAAGAGAGAAGGAAGAGCTAGAGGAAATCAGGCAGCGACTTCTGGCAGAAGGGCATCCGGATCCAGATGCAGAGCTTCAGAGGGTGAGTTACTATCACATCAACAATATTTTAAGACCATGAAGTCATCTTTTTAAAAAAAATATGTTTTTATTGATTTCAGAGAGGAAGGGAGAGAGAGAGAGAGAGAGAAACATCACTGATGAGAGAGAATCATTGATTGGCTGCCTCTTGCATTCCCCACACTGGGGATTGAGCCTGCAACCCAGGCATGTGCCCTGTCTGGGAATTGAACCATGATCTCCTCATTCACAGGTTGATGCTCAACCACTAAGCCATGCTGGCTGGGCCTTTTTAAAAAAATCTTTATTAAATTTGTTGGGGTGACAATTGGTAGCATGTCATCTTAAGCCGACTATGATGTGGTTTAGTTTATAAGGGAATGTATTTTTAGGTACCATGAGTCTTGTTATTTTGGGGAGGTTATTACTACTTTTTCTTTCTATTATTGCACAAATAATCAGTATTGGCTCATTCTAAAAATCTTTCAGATGTTTTATTCATTTATTTCTGTGAAGTATTATGTTAAATGAGTGTCTTTTAATGACACTTAGCTAGAAACCTGTTTTTACAGTGTGCTTTTGTGATTTAAGTTTCTTCTGTCACTATCACTCTAAATATTTTGTTTCCAAAATAAATTTTTTTTTTTTATTAACAGTTTGTCATTTAAAAGGAAAAGACTGTCATAGGACATGGCATACCCCATGCTGATTAGGAATAGAGTGTGTCATACAAAGTTTTTAAAATCTGTTGCATGTTATTTATTAACAGAAATTATGTCTTACATGTCCCTTTTATTTTCAAAATGAAATAATGTTCTTTTTTCTGTTGATAAAGTGCTTACATGAGTAAATAGAAAGCTTAGACAACATAGAACACAATAATGAGATTAAAGACCACCTGATTTCTATTAGCCATTTATAATCATTATAAATGACTAGTTACTTTTTAAATGTTACCACACAGATCACATATACTCCACTCAGACATAAGTTTTATAAGTGGGATTATCATTTACATGCTGTTTTTTGGTGCTTTTAAATCAGGTGTAATCTTCCACCCATAATTTTACCAATTTATAGCCCTTATGCCTTTTTTTATACTTTCACTATTGTGGCATATTGTTTGTCTTGTAACATTGAGGTTGTGATGATTTTATTTTTTAATTCTGTGTCTACCAATGAATTTTAATTTTAATGTTTTCTTAGATATATTTTTATTTTCTATTTTTGTTTCATGCTTAAAATATTGATCTATTCATCTAAAAGTTTGTAATGCTCTCATGATTATTTTTTATTATCTTTCATAATTTCAGGGGGAATGTTCATACTGTTATAGGCCTTAAGGGTCCTAAATTCTTTCCATTGCCCTGTTTCTTTTGTTTGTGAATTCATAAGTGGCTACTACCCTTAGTCATTAACTAGAAAGAAGAAATAATTGTGACCTGGCTCATGTGGCTCTGGATTGAGTGCCAGGAGGTCATGGTTGGATTCCCGGTCAGGGCACATGCCTGGGCTGTGGGCTCAATCCCCAATAGAGGTTGTGCAGGAGGCAGCCAGTCAGTGGTTCTCTCTCATCATTGATGTTCCTCCCCCTCCCCTTCCCCCTCCCTTCCCTCCTTTCCCTCCCTTTTCTTTTCGCCCCATCATTGATGTTTCTATCTCTCCTCCCTCTCCCTTCCTCTCTGTAAAAAATCAATAAAATACATTTATAAAAAAAAAAACTAAAACAAACTTCTGGCTATAGTTTATTTTTCTTTTTTTAATCTTTACCCAAGGACACATTTTTATTGATTTTTTTTGTTTTTGTTTTTGTGTTTTGAGAGAGAGAAAGAAACATCAATTGGGTGCCTCCTGCGCCCACCCTGAATGGGGATTCAACCTGCAACCTAGTTATGTGCCCTGACCAGGAATTGAACCAGCAATCTTTTTGGTGTATGGGATGACACTCCAACCAATTGAGTCATCCAGCCAGGACTCTGGTTATAATGTCCTTAATGAAATTATAAAAACATACTTTTCATTTTGAATTAGCCAGCTATTTATTATGTATTTACCTTTGTTATTCTGAAGTTTTATATAACACCACTGAAGAATGATAATATTTGTAAAATCATTTTTTAAATTTTCGAAGTATCTCATCTACTTTACAGATTTACTTAGCTTTCTGATTATAGAAGTGAGCAATGTTTTTCGCTATTCCTAATGAAAAAAAAGAGATTTTTATAAAGATAACTAGAGGCCTGATGCACGAAATTCATGCAAAGGCCTTGGCCCTGGCCCCCACTGCTGCCAGGGCCGGTGGGGGGGGTGTCTCTGCCACCTCGGCTTCATCCCTTCCCACTGTGGCTTTGTCTGGAAGGACATCTGGTCAAATTAGCATATTATGCTTTTTTCAGTATAGATACAAAAAAAAAAAGCCAGTTGAATTGAGTATAGTTGTGGTCTGAGTTAGATTATTTTTTTCTTTTAGATGGAACAAGAGGCTGAGAGGCGCAGACAACCACAAATAAAGCAAGAACCAGAATCAGAGGAAGAGGAAGAAGAAAAGCAAGAAAAAGAAGAAAAACGAGAGGAACCTGTGGAAGAGGAAGAAGAGCCAGAGCAGAAGCCCTGTCTTAAACCAACTCTGCGGCCCATCAGTTCTGCCCCATCTGTTTCCTCTGCCAGTGGCAATGCAACCCCCAACACTCCTGGGGATGAGTCTCCCTGTGGTATTATTATTCCTCATGAAAATTCGCCAGATCAACAACAGCCTGAGGAGCATAGGCCAAAAATAGGACTGAGTCTTAAACTGGGTATGTTAGCATTTATTTCCTTTGTCTTTATTTTTCCCTCTGCAAACTCCTGAATTTTGCCTTAAGGAAAAATAAGTATGTGCTGCTTGGTAGGTAGATAGAAAAAATTCAAAAATGCTTTTCTAGCTCACTATTGTTTTCATAGTTCTACTAGTGCTCCTATATCTGCAGCTGCCTCGAGTTCTGAGAAGAAATGAAAAGTTAAATTTTCTAGCACTTGTGAGTAGTGAGTTATTTTTTACAGTTGGGATCTTTCTCTGAGACTTGTGAAATTATATTTTGCACTGTTTTTGAGGGGATGGTGGGTTATAAAATGTAACATTTCAAAATAAAGTCATTATGCTAATAGAGTGTTTTTACTATAGGTGCTTCCAATAGTCCTGGTCAACCTAATTCTGTGAAGAGAAAGAAACTCCCTGTAGATAGTGTCTTTAACAAATTTGAGGATGAAGACAGTGATGATGTACCCCGAAAAAGGAAACTGGTTCCCTTGGATTATGGTGAAGATGATAAAAATGCTGCCAAAGGCACCGTAAACACTGAAGAAAAGCGCAAACACATTAAGAGTCTCATTGAGAAAATCCCTACAGCCAAACCTGAGCTTTTTGCTTATCCCCTGGATTGGTCTATTGTGGACTCTGTGAGTAGTAAATTGTATTTCACCATTTTATCATAAGTAGTTTTGAATATAGCATACAAATTCAGTTGATGCCATTAATGACAAGTAGTGATGATAATGTAGCTGGAATCTTGACATTGCTGAGAATTTAGTAGATTATTGGGGAAATTAGTGGTGGTACTTGAAGTCTTCATAAATTAGAAGTAAATATATCTTGATATATACCTCTTCTAGTGTGACAGATTGTATTTTAATGTTATGAAAAAACCACAAGTTTGTAGACTTTTTTTTAAGTGTAATAAAATTTTTCTTTACTTTAGTAACCATACTTTATTTTTCAGATATTGATGGAACGACGAATTAGACCTTGGATTAATAAGAAAATTATAGAATACATAGGTGAAGAAGAAGCTACATTAGTTGATTTTGTTTGTTCTAAGGTTAGTCTTTTTCCTCTCTTCGTCCACAACATTTGTTTCATACTCTAAAATGTTGGACATTTTCGAAAATATAATATCTTGTAGGGTTAAGTCCATGATAGTTTAGTTTCAGTTAAGAGATTCATGGCTACTTAAATGAATCCCTCCACCCTATTTCAGACCCCTAGGCTGCATGCTTTCATTTCAAAGGGTCAAAGAGGATGGAATTGCTGGCTGCTGCCGATTTTGCTCTCTCCCTGCCCCCTGAGAATGCCTTGCCCCACCCCTTTCTTGTCTTATGGTTAGAATGGTATTGAAGTACAGTTGAGGTGTTGTGGAGATAGTTTATAGCTTGTCTTATCAGTTTCTTTGTCAGTCATCCATCCTTTGGAGGAGGAGCAAAATAGTTTTTGTCAGGGCAGGCCTTATATATATATATATATAAAAGCCTAAGTGACCATTATGACGGAACGACTGGTCACTGTGTTGCACACTGACCACCAGGGGGCAGACTCTTAATGCAGGAGGTGCCCACAGCCAATCTGTGTGCTCCCACAGGGGGAGCTCTGCTCTGCCACACACAGGCTGATGGCTGCCAGCACAACAGTGGTGGCAGGCGCCTCTCCCGCCTCCTCAGCAGCACTAAGGATGTCCGACTGCAGCTTAGGCCTGCTCGGTGTCTGGCATTTGTTCCTTTTGCGCCTGGCCCGGTGACTGTTGCCTCCTGATCCTGCTGAGGCCTTTGAACCCTGGGCTGGGACAGGGAACGGGTGTGGGTGGTGGTGGACACGGCCCCTTTCCCACGGGGGCCAAGAGCTGGCTCCCTCTTTGGGGCCAGCTGCCAACCTCCCAC